GTGTGTGTGTGAGAGTGAGAGTGTGTGTGTGTGTGTGTGTGTGTGAGTGAGGGAGAGAGAGAGTGTGTATTCACTGACAAAATAGACATGGTTTGTAGGGCTTCACAATTAATCGAATTTCTAATCGCAATTACAATTATGTAATCGTTCAAAGCTGCAATTAATTGTTCAAAGTCCACTTATGTTATTCTGCACGCTTAAGATATGTTTTTTATGTTATATGTTTGTTATCTTAAGGGTTTTTCCATTGTTTTAGTTTTAGTTTTAGTATAACATTATAATACCATTCATATATTTACTTTTTTTTATAATTACGTGTGTGTGTGTTGTAGAGTAAGGAGGTGATCCTCAGGTATCTGAGTGTGGCCGGTCACACTTTAGGCACTAATGAGCTGAACGTCATCGGCTCCAACATCTGCGCACTGAACATCTCAACACTTCAGAGCATTACAGCAAGAGACCTGAGGCACGACACACACTCTCTCACACACACACACACACACACTCACACACACACTCACACACACACACACACACACACTCACACACACTAACACACACACATACACTCACACACACACACACACACACACACACTCACACTCACACTCACACACACACAGACACACACACACACACACACACACTCACACACACTAACACACACACATACACTCACACACACACACACACACACACACACTCACACTCACACTCACACACACACAGACACACACACACACACACACACACTCACACACACTAACACACACACATACACTCACACACACACACACACACACACACACTCACACTCACACTCACACACACACAGACACACACACACACACACACACACTCACACACACTAACACACACACATACACTCACACACACACACACACACACACACACTCACACTCACACTCACACACACACAGACACACACACACACACACACACACTCACACACACTAACACACACACATACACTCACACACACACACACACACACACACACTCACACTCACACTCACACACACACAGACACACACACACACACACACACACTCACACACACTAACACACACACATACACTCACACACACACACACACACACACACACTCACACTCACACTCACACACACACAGACACACACACACACACACACACACTCACACACACTAACACACACACATACACTCACACACACACACACACACACACACACTCACACTCACACTCACACACACACAGACACACACACACACACACACACACTCACACACACACTCACACACACACACACACACACACACTCATTTACCAGCTCACTCGTTCATTCAGTCATTCATGTCTCTCTCTCCTCGTGTGCAGCAATGCAGAAGTTCTGGATCTGTCCTCGTGTTCATATGAGCAGAAATCAGTTCTGTACAGCACTGCCAACTCCTCGTTCAGAGCTCAACGCAGCACCGGCCCTATTTACTTCCATCTCATCAGCCCATACCTCGGTAAAACACACACACACACACACACACACACACACATCTCATAGAGGGTTTATGCAGAAGTGATGAAAATGTGCGTGAAATTGAAAACTGCTAGAAAATCAAAGCCATAAAACTAAAGATGTGTCCCAAATTTGAAGTTGATATCTCAAAAATGAGCTTTCAATTGGATTTTGGTTGGGTGCAGTACCAAACTTCAGTGGTGAGCCCAATTTAGGGCAAATTCATATCCCTATTTGAACTGAGCAATCTGAACCATACATTTCAGTTTTTACAAATAGTATGGCAGTATTTGATTTGAATTCAATTTTAAACAACATAAAGGACATGTGGATGTGCGTTATAGTTTGCATTCGAGACATGATGCATCATAAATTGAGAATCTGTCTTTCTTTAAATATATATACTGTATATATATATATACACATAGTGGATTTTTAGACACAAAACTAGAACGGATGTCATGATTTGCACTGTTGCATGAAAACTAACCAAAGGATCTACTGAGGTTTGCATGATTTTCCATGTGCATCGCTTTTTCATAATAAAGGTCTGACCTCACCTTATGACTCTGATGTATGCATGCCACAAATGACTTATGCTAAGTCTACAGAAAATCAGTCACAAACTATGAAAACTAAAGTCTTGGAGCTTACCGATGAGATATATTTTGTCAAGCTTAGAAAAGATTACAATGCAAAACATGATTTATGGATCTCTCATACAGTCAGCTGTGCTCAACATGTTTCACTGTATTAGTGAGGACATTTTCACACATTTGTATGTGTGTGTGTGTGTGTGTAGGTGGCGCTCCGGTTGAGGACGTGAGGGCTTTGGCCTCTTCTAACATCACTATGGACATCAGCACCTTCAGAAGCCTCAGCATACCTGTTGTGACGGTAACAAATGCTCTCTCACACACACACACACACACACACACACACACGTTCCTCTCAGTGTGGATGTGAGTGTGACTGTATGCCGCGTGTGTTTCAGGGTCTGAGCGTGTCTGATGTGCGTGCTCTCATGGGTTCGGCTGTGGCCGATCTGAAGGTGTTTGAGAAGGACTCTGTGGTTCAGGCCTGGATCTCCTCACAGCCGCAGTCTCAGTTAGACACACTGAACGTGGGTCTGCAAGGAGGCCGAGCCGATCCCAGCACATCCGCACCTGTCACCGCCCAAAACAACAGCACCGCTAACGGCACCGGCACTGTCACCGGCACGCAGTCAACGGCTCCCGGCCAGTCAGCTGCAGCTACAGTCACTGTACAAGGTGAAGCCACGCCCACTTTCTCTGATCCACTAAGATTCATTATTTACCAGATTAACCTCAGACCTGTGATGTGTCGATCAAACACTAATGATGGAGTGTGTTTCAGGATCTGCAACAGCTCTTCATCTCGGTCCAGGCCTGTGGCTCGTTGCGTCCTGCGTGTGGCTTCTGACCTTCACATGACACGATACCTGAGCCACCATGATCAAAAATCAATGAAATCATCACCAGAAATCAGTCAGATTGACACAAGTGCTCCATTAGATCAATATCACTAATCAATAATGAAATATTAGAAATGAATGAGAGCAATATTAGATTCATTCATATCAGTACTTATTAGTTGATTTTTGTCTCCTATGTCTTAATAATCATATTTTTTTCTGAAGTTATTTTTAATTAAATTTTTAATGATTGTATAACAAATCTGTGAACTTATTTAAAACATTTCTAGTCTAATAAAAATATTTACACTCATCTGACAAAAATTATGAAGGAAATCACATTTTGTTAAATTAATATGATACAGTAGCAAATTATTTTGTGACTTAATAGTAGTATATTTTAACATTCACTGTTAATGTAAAATTATTTTGTCTTCAATAAAATTAACATGCATCATATGATTCCTGATAAATGTATGAGTGAATTATCAAAATACCCAGGTTCATTCAAAGATCTGTGTGTGTGTGTGTGTGTGTGTGTGCATGTTTATGTGGTTTAGAATGATCAAAATACCCAGGTTCATTCAAAGATCTGTGTGTGTGTGTGTGTGTGTGTGTGTGTGTGTGTGTGTGCATGTTTATGTGGTTTATGAGGACACAAATTTGTATAATAACATGGGTATGACATAGGTATTACACCGAGAAGGTGATTTATGAGGACATTTTCAGTGTCCCCGTAATTCAAAAGGCTTATAAATAATTCAGAATTAGTTTTTTTGAAAATCTAAAAATGCAGAAAGTCTCCTGTGAGGGGTAGGTTTAGGGGTAGGGTTGGTGTAGGGCAATAGAATATACGGTCTGTACAGTAGAAAAACCATAAAAACAAACCTGTGTGAGTGTGTGTGTGTGTGAGAGAGAGAGAGAGAGAGAGAGAGAGAGAGAGTGTGTGTGTGTGTGTGTGTGAGAGAGAGAATGTGCGCGTGTGTGTGTGTGTGTGTGTGTGTGTAAGAGAGAGAGAGAGAGAAAGAGAGAGTGTGTGTGTGTGTGTTTGTACCTACTTAAGTTAACCATATTTTAAGGACAACGCTGTACACATAAGTGAGATAAACCTGACAAAACCTCCTTTTGTGGACATCCTCATTTGTCAAAACTATATATATATATATATATATATAATACATATATATATATATTTATATTAGGGATGCAGCAACAAGAGTTAGCCCACGGTTCGATACATGCCTCAGTTTTTAACCACGGGTTTGGCTCAGTTCTGATTCACTGACCCATTCATAAAAAAAACAGTGTCTTACTTAATTTCTGAATGAATCAGCCGTTTTGCACGAATCAATTGAATAAATGACTCAACCACTCAATGGCTTGCTGCCACCTACTGGTAATTGTAATCTAATTTTTTAAAAGTGTCATTCTATTTTTTTCTATAATTTCGTATCGCTGTGTTCTAAATACTTAAAACATTAATCTCATAATATTATTTATGCCATTTTGTAAGTGCAAATTATGTAATTCTCTTTAAAAAAAATGAAGCCACTTTGCCATTTTAACTTTTCAACATAGCCTATTTTATTTGAAGTGTGCCGTGTATTCTGATACATACATTAATTTCTCTGGACTAAGCCCCGGATATCCAGTCACCCTACAACTGCCCCTGTGTCTACTTCAAATTTCTATTGAGAGAAGTATTATTTTTCCTACTTTTACCCAAAATAGGATGGATTGGTCATTAATGAGTGCTATAAGCACGTTTAATGTCTGCTTCATTCATGCTGGACTCCAGAGGACTCTGCGAGCGGGGTGTGCAAGAGTTGCTGACTTAAAGAATCGTGCAAACTGGAAAAGTCCAGAGGAAATGTGCAAGATGACAGGCATCCAATCTATAAGGATTAGAAAGATAATAATAGACGGAATTGTTTCAGCATTACCTTCTGTCTTCAGACAAAGCCCAGAGGAAAATGAAGTTCCTGAACAGAACAGAGGGAGTCATTTTCCCCAAGTGGAAATTTCAGCAGTGGAGGAGCAGAGCCAGAGGAAGTTCTATTCTAAATTTCAGGACTCCTGTGCTGGAAGGTTTTGAGACAGTTTCAAAGAAGGCACTATATAATATTTGTGTGAATGTGTCTCACTACAACATACTCAAAGATTGCAAAGAGACAAAGTGGTCAGATTTGTTCGGGCCAGACTCATTCCCTAGTGGCTGCTGTTGGAGAGTTGTCCACTCGGCGGTAGGGCAGTAGCGACATGTGGCACACATTGACCCCACTGTAGGGAAAAAATGCCCTTTTTGTGGTACTGAGGAGTCAATAGATCAATAGATCATTAAATTGTTTAAGGTTAAGAGGGTTGTTTCAGGTCTTAGACGGGTGGGTTAGAGATTTGGGAGTGCATTTTAATAAAGAATTATTCATTTTTGGACCGAAATATGTTGCTTCAGACAAGAAAAAAATCGTGTTAATCAGTTTTGTGTTAGGAGGAGCTAAGATGGCGATATGCTTAACACGGAAAAGGAAATTGAAAGGGGAGGTGGTAGTAGGTCCTGAGGTGGTTTTAAAGGCTCTTATAGCAAACAGAATCAAGGCAGAGTTTGCATATTTTAAACTGACAAATAACCTGGACAGATTTATTGAAATTTGGGCTTTGAACGATGTTTTGTGCACAGTGGATTATGAGAATGAACTGGTGTTAAATTACTGAGGGTCCTTTTGTGACTGTTAAACATATATATCAAAATAATAATAATAATAATAATATGCTGAATTTATGTGAAACTATTTATGGTTTTTGTGTGGGTATATATGCGTATGTGTATTTAAAAGAATAAATATTTGTATGAGTTTTTTTTTTATGTAAATGGATTTGTTACAGTTAAATATTGGTTGAGGTATTGTCTACACAGTGTAATTTATAAATAAAGGTGTGTTAAAGGTCTCTCTCTCTCTCTGCGCTGTGGGTGGAGTCCAGTGAATGGCAGTGGCTGCAGGCTGTAGCACAGACTCAATCAGTTCAGTTCTTCACCACAAACACACCTGACAGGTAAGTTCAGTGATTTCTCCATGTAAAGAGCTGCAGTGTTTTACCTGTATGTGTTGTGCTGTTACTCTGGTAATAATCCTGAGAGTGTGGTGGGTGTTTTAATGATTTTAATGATTGGGACACAGCCGGATCGACTCAGAGTCACTTAAAAGGCTGTAAAATCCGATCTCTTATTGATATGATCAGATATGAACTCTTAGATGCGTGTGATGTAGAGTTATTATATTCTTCATCATGAGATGAGCTTTGTGCGCCTCTACACTGAACATTTCAGTAACACTTTACAATAAAGTCCCATTAGTTAATGCATTCAATGAGCAATTCATGTGTTACAGTGTTTATTCATCTTTAAATTAGTTAATAAAAATACAACTACTCGTTGTTAGTTCATGTTTGCTCAGGTCCATTAAATAATATTAACAGATACA